TTTACATTTTAATAATTCTTCTGATTGTTTTCTGTTTTTTGTTTCGATAAGTAATGTACCATTTCTTAGCTTTTTCACATTTTTTAAGTCTCCTAATAAACCTGAAAAAAACTTATTTACTAAGAACGGGGATAGTTTTTCAAAATTTTGATCATCTGATCTCTCTATTATTAAGAACGATGGGCTAATTGGGATCGCACCATCCGTATTTTCAGCTTCGAATTTAAGACGACCCCGAGGTCGTTTTCATTTAACCTTTGGGCTATTTAAATCTATGGGATCCCCCATAGAAATATAAAATATAACGTAATAAAAGAAAGCAAGTAATAAAGAAAAAAAAATTGATAAAATGGAATAAAATAAATATATCCTTATAGTTTATAAAAAAATATATATATATTCTTATAGTAGATAACAAATAAGTAAAAAGTTATAAGAAAAATAAATTAATAAATGTATTTAATCTTATCTGTAAGCGACTAAAGAGGCACGTCTTATCTCTTCCAATGCTAACACTGAACTGATTTATTGAGTTTTAATCGTTTATTATTTGTAGTTTTCTGGAACATACCCGGTAATCCAAACTTGTTGGTGAACACACTGAGCACACCCTATTGGTATTAGTTTGAATTACTGTGATTATGCTGTATTATTATGTCCATTGATATATCATTGAATTTTAACTTGTTTCCGAACTTGACATTTTTACCCCATTTTAAAACTTAAAAAATTGGTCTTGAAAAGCTTCTCACAGGAACACTATAGTCAGGTCAGACTATAATAAATGTCAGACTATAATAAATAATGTTAACATTTTTGAAATTTCCTCTGTGAATGGTCTAGAATTTTATAATGCTGAGTTAGTGTAAACAATTTAATGAGGGAGAAGAAAAACCCTTCCTCAAGATCACATACCATATATTTTGCAATTTACTTCAATCCCATTGGCCATACATTTTATTTTGAATCTTCTTCATTGAAACTCGTTTGTTTATAAATTACTTGTTTTAGTTAATTAAATTAATTACATTACTTTGTTTTTAAATTAAAAAATGTATATAACAATTAATTTTTGAAATGATAAAGTATTATTTATTATTACATGTGGTTGCAAATCAGTGTTGGGCAAAATGTATCTTAAATAATAGATAATAGATAACGAATAATTTATTTGTATTTTAAACTACGAATAACGAATATTTCTGTTTATCTTTTATCTAAATAATAAATAAATTCAAGTTATCTATTATCTTTTTATGTTTTTCTAGTTTTTCAAATAAATTTAGAATAATTTAACTGTAATTTTTTCTTAGAAGGCCTCCCAAAAAAGAAAAATGGAGTTTAAATTTTTCCAAATTTTCATTCCATTTTCCTCTTTTATCTATCTTGTGAATTGATGATTGGTTTTTCATTGATCCAACAATTTTCCGGCTATGTAGAGGTAGGTAAAAATGGAGAATTAGTGTAGAAATTTGTCTGAATTTTCTTTCACTTTTCCTGTTTTATCTCTAGAACAATGATCAATTTTTCACCTTCCAACAATTTTCTGGCTATGTAGAGGTAGGCGAAAATGAGGAAGTTTTTTTATTCGTAATGGATAATGAAATTTAGATTACTCCACTATAAGTTTTTTTAAGCTCTATCTATTGTAGGTAACATTTGTCTAATTTGACCATTTTAATTTTACAATAATTTTGGTATAAATAAATATTGCTCCAAGTAGAGATAAATATAAAGTCATTTCAGATGAATAGTTAGTATCAAGAATTAATTTGAGCAATATTTATTTATAAGAAAATTAATTATAATTAAAATGGTTTAATTACACTAATTTTACACAATAATATTGAATACTTGATGGTTGACCGGAGTGTATTATTGGGTAAGAAGGTGGTCCTTTATAATATTTTTCAGTTTAATTACGTTCATTTTTTATATTCACCACGGTCAACCATCCAGTATTCAATATTATTGTTTAATTAAACCGTTATAATTTTACATTAATTTTCTTATAAATAAATATTGCTCAAATTTATTCTTGAGACTAACTATTCATCTGAAATGAGTAAGAATTTAAAATTTAATTGTTTGTTACTATTTTAGTCTTTTTATGACCGCCACTGCGGACCATCTTCTTATTCGTTACATATAATAGGTAGAGCTTAGAAAACTTATAGAGGAGTTATCAAAAATTTACCATCCATTAATGATTACACCATTTCCACATTTTCGCCTACCTCTACATAGCCAAAAAATTATTGGAACAGTGATAAACTGATATTTCATTCCCAAGATAAAAAAGTAAGGGATGATGAAAATTCAGAAAAATGTTTACACCATTTCCTCATTTTTTCCTACCTCTACATAACCAAAAAATGGATGGAAGAGTAAGAAAATGATCATCCATTCACAAGATGAAATAGGAAAAGCAAAAGAGAATTCAGAAAATTAAACAGTTATAAAATTGTTGGAATGTTGAAAAACCGAGCATCCATTCACGAGATAAAAGAGGAAAAGTGAATGAAAATTTTACACTAATTCTTCATTTTTGCCCACATATACATAGTCGGAAAACTGTTGGAACGGTGAAAAACCGAGTATTAATTCATGAGGTAAAAGAGGAAAATTGAATGACAATTCAGAAAATTTGTACCACTCCTGTTTCCACTGGCTATTTCCAAACAGTTATAATATTGCGAATGAAAATTCGGAAATGTCACTTCTTATTAATTTATTAATGAATCTACTCCATTTTCGAAAACAGCATTTAATGGGGTAGATAATAACAGCATGTATAATGTTAAATTATTATGGTAAAATATATGAAATAAAAACATACACCATTAGTTAAAATAAAATGTTTCATTTCCAGGAATAATGCAGATAAGTTCCATTTGTTGACCTCACAGAGAGTGTATATTACTTCTACTTCGTTTATTGATTTATTAAACCACTACAATATTATTTTTAAAGAAAAGAAAGATGAATTAGAAATCGCGAAAGAAAAGTATCTTGGAGGTCTTGAAAAATTAGAATTTGCCGCTAATCAGGTACAATCTTGTTCCTAATTATAGTTACTTGTCAGTTTATATTAATTTATAATAGGGTGTATAAAAAAAATGACCGTTTTTCAACCAAATATTTGCATTATTATTTTTTTTATATAAAATACAATTAATACTCAAAGCATAAAGCGTTGTTATCTACCACCATTATCCATGTGCTAGCCAATTGCTCAATCCCACGTTGATACCATTCTTTGGGGTGGCTGTCAAAGAACTCTTAGATTACAATTTCAACTTCCACAAAATTATTAATTTTTTTCCCTTGAAGCAAATGGGCCATGGATCTAAATAAGTATTAATTTGACAGTGCGAGGTCTGGACTGTATGTAGAGGTGAACATTCCAGCAACTTTTGAAAATGTAAATGAACTATTCGTTGACAAAAACAACAGTTCTTAAGAACTGTTGAAAAAAAAAATAGTTCATAGAACAATGCAACCTATTCGTTTCGTAACAGATCTTATTTATTTTAAAATTTGTTATTTTGTTCAAATTAAAAATACTTTAACTAATCTTTATCTTTATTTAGAACAATTTTTGAGACTTACCTTGTGTCCTGTTTTATTTAATAAATTTTGTTTTTGTTCACTTAATTATAATATCAAAGTCATAGTAGTGAAGTTATCTAATCATAAAACTAATTGCAGTTGTTTTGAGGGTGCGGTAAGAAGTGAAATAATAAAACACACCTATTAGCGAAATTATTTTAATGTGCGCTGACATATAGTGTTTGTAATTAAACCTTAATTTTTCCTTTTTGTGGAACCTCTACACCTATCGCCCTGACGAAGGCCTGATATTCAGGCACGTATTAAAATAAGTGTTGGCATGTTTTATTCATTACTGATTACATCTCCAACCAACTTCTGTCTTCATAATAGAATCATTAAAAAAATTCTTGAAATCTTCTTTATTCTTTAAATTCATCTTTTATAAATGATAAATCATTGTTTATACTCAAGACGAACAGCTAGATAAAACAGATGCAGACAATTATTAAATTATAAAATATAATTTATTAAATTACATTATTATCACAAAACAACAACAAACTAAATCATTATTGCATGCATCATAGAAGTGTCACATGTTCCATAGAACTATCACTTGTACTAGAGAATTATCACATGTATCGTATAATTATCACTTGCATTATATAATTTTCACATGTACCATATAATTTTCATTTGTACTATATTATTATCACATGAATTATTACTTGCATTAATAATTATTCTATGTATTATGAATTATTACACATAAAATTATCACATGTGACACATAATTATAACAAGGGTCATAAAATTATCACATCTGTCATATATACATCACATAAGTCAATAAAGCTAAATAACAATATACATACAAGAAAAATATTTTGGCAAAAGCCAGATAGGATAATTTTAAATAAAAATTATGTAAACCACGCTTCTTCGATTGACTAGCCTTGATAAAGGCCTGAACTTAGGGCTGAAACGTCGGCAAATATAAAAATAAATATAATTATTTATTTTTCATTTTGACTGATCGCTTCAACCATCCTTCTCTTCAATTATTCACGACAGTCAACCATCAATCCACTATTATTATTCTTTCCAGTTGGTCGCAGTAGGGTTCAGAATTCATAGAGCATCAATCAGGAACAAATTCGTGATTAATAACACCTTCGAAATTCCAAAAAACGCAAAGCTTGGATTTTTTTTCAAATTGCCCCCTTGCAGCAACCTGAAAAGCCGTTTGACCATGATCTAACCATTGCTCACGGGTATTTAGATTTCGCCAGTAAATCCATTTTTCATCACAGATGACAATCTTCCACTAAAATCTCATATTAGAAGGATTTTTCAATAAAGTTTCCCAAATTTCTCACCTCTTAGCTGATTGCTGAGGAGTAAGTTCGTGAGGGACTAGTCTACTGCTCTTTTTCACCTTTCCCATGGAGAGTAGATGGCGACTAACAGTATCTTTCAACACATCACACTCCCTGGCAAGTTCGCGAGTACTTGTAGACGGATTTGACTCAACAGCAGAACCTCATCAATATCCATTAATGGTCGCCCGGAGCCCTTCTTCCTTTCCAATGTCTTATCTCCACTGCTAAATTTTTCAAACCAACAATGCACAGTACACTAGTCAAGGTCACTTTCACCTTCATATTTAATAATTTCATGAGTTGCTTCAGTGGCTGTGAAATTTTTTTTCCAGCAATGCCTTAAAATTACGAGAATTTTGTTGAACACTGTCATGTTTCTTCTTTGAAACAAATAACTAATCTGAATCTTTTTTGAAGAAATCAAATGGGATTAAACAAGCTAAGAGAATGCTCTAAAGGGATTATTAAGTATTATATAGGATTAAAATATTTACAGTCCTTTGAAATCTTGTTTTTTTTACTAATTTTTACTTTATTCTTATTATATAAATTATTAAAAATGTTGATATTTTTTATTTTATTGTTTTGATTCCATTAAATGATTAATAGCTCTGCATCGTATTGTTATTTGGAATTTTCATTTAAGTATATTTAAATGTTAAGGTTGAAGTAATGCAAAAGGATTTGGAATCTCTACAACCTGCACTAAAGAAAGCTGCTGAAGAAACTTTGAAAATGCTGAAAGTTATAGAAACAGAAACATTTGAGGTTGAGAAAGCTTCAGAGCGAGTAAGAAGTGATGAAGAAATAGCAAATGAACAAGCAATGTCTGCGATGGGGTTGAAAACTGAATGTGAAAATGATTTGGCTTTAGCCATACCAATTCTAGAAGGTTTGTTTTTATAAGATCATATAATGCAGTGCATAATATTTATTAAATTGCAAAAGGTTTTTATTAAATGAACATTTGGGCTATTTTTCATAACTTGTAATTTTTTTTTTATATATATGTTTCATTTAATAAAGATGCTGTGGCAGCCCTTAATACTTTAAAACCAGCAGACATTACTCTTGTTAAATCTATGAAAAATCCTCCTGAAACTGTGAAATTGGTACTTGCTGCTGTGTGTGTAATGAAAGGAATCAAGCCTGATAGACTTCCTGATCCTAAAAACCCAGGGAGAAAAGTAAGATACTATAAATAAATGTAATACATAATATTCTCTTATTTTTTTTTAAATTGTATGAAACATAACATAAACTATTGTAGAAATTGTACAAGGATCAGAAAAATATATGCAAGTACATATAAATCAGGTCATAGAACATGTTTCATAGAAGTGTCACATGTTCCATAGAACTACCACTTGTACTAGACAATCATCACATGTACCATATAATTATCACATCTGTCATATATACATTACATAAGTCAATAAAGCTGAATAACTATAAACATACAAGAAAAATATTTTGGCAAAAGCCAGATAGGATAATTTTAAATAAAAATTTGGTAAACCATGCTTCTTTGATTGACTAGCCTTGATGAAGGCCTGAACTTTGAGCCGAAACGTTGGCAAATATAAAAATAAATATAATTATTTATTTTTACTATTTTTCATTTTGACTGATCATCCCTACCATCCTTCTCTTCAATTATTCACAACAGTCAACCATGAGTCCACTATTATGAATCTTTTCAGTTATAACTATGGTGGGATTCATGCACATTAGTGAATGGGAAACTTATCATAAAAGAAAAGGTTTTGATGTTAATAACAACAGAGGGTCAAAGTCAGTGAGATTTAAACCAAATTTGTTTTGGTGACACTTCATTGAAAAATACTAGATATGTGCCCTGGCATTCATTCCAAAGGACCTGAGGAGTCATATTATAGAAAAATAATATTGTATGTACAATAATGTAAATATATATATATATATATATATATATATATATATATTTTTTTTCCTTTGCTTTGCCTGAATTTCTGCTTTGATTTCTTCTGGATTTTTATGACTACATATCATTTTTTTTTTTATGCAAATAAGAAAAAAATATATATATGGTACTATATGAGTAATCATGTATAATAAATTACTAACACTAAAAGACACTTCCAGTAAAATAGGCCAAGTCAATTTTTGTTATGAATTTTGTTAAAAATTTGTTGAAGAATCCAGCATAAGCAAAAATTTGGCAAAAAAAACTTAATATTTTGATTTCTATAAAAGTTTGTATTTATAGCTTTTTGAAGTACAAAAACTAATACCAACTTTGTTTCTCCCCAGAAAAATATTTACTTTAGATACCAGGCCGACTTTGAAAGAATATTATATTTGGCATATTAAAGAATATTAAAAGAAATTGGACCAACACACATAGCAATGTGGGGGTAAAGATTTTTTTAAGGAGAAACAAAGTTGATATTAGTTTTGTACCTCAAAAAAACCTTAATACAAAATTTTATAAAAATTGAAAATTTTAAATATTTTGTTAAACATTTTTTCTTAGATTGGTCCCTTTAATTTTTTTTTTAAACTACAAAAATTGTGATAACTTCAAGGCAACCCACCGAATGACATGAAAATTATTAGGGATTTAGGTTTCTATAGGCTAGATGAAATGGTATATCCTGATCTTTGTAAGCAAATTAGAACAAATGATATAAATCAAAAATATTTGAGAAGTTTTTCTTTATTTCTAGCTTATAAGGGAAACAAATCTAATAGAGATTGATATAGGTTATAAGATCAGTAATCCAGTTTTTCATCAGTTGCACTAATGTTGAATTTGTAGAAAATTAAAAAGTTTTGAATGCTAAAGTTAATGGCCAGAAATAAATCTGAGAAAATCAAGTACTAAAATTTGCAATTTTTAATTACTATAAAAATTCATATTGAAGAACACCAGAATAAATGTCTAATATCTTTGATGTAAAATTGCCATAAAAAATTGTAAGTTTAATTTCCATTTATATATAATAAGTACAGTGAAAAAAAAAACAATATAAAATAACAAAAAGTTAGAAATTTTTCAAATATATATTTATTTATTTTATAATGCAAAATTGTGATGTCCTTCAGGTCTTAGGTTTATTGATAACATAATGCCATTCAATTCTTTTTCTTCTTGCTTAAACTTTATTTAACTTAAATGGAACTGTTGCAGAGTAAAACAGCTCATTGTAATTGAAATATGCTTAACTATTGTGTTTGATCAGTTTCATAAACTGATTGTATTTTATTGATTTTTCTCATTTTAGCAATATGTATGGATTTATATTGATGTAGTCTTCAGCAATTCTGCTCTATATAGACATTTCTAATCTTAAAATTGCAGCTGTCTCAGCTCCAACACTAAGGCTTTCAGGGGCCTTCCACATAACTCTGTTTTTGTCTTTATTAATTAGCTATAATAGTCCTTCCTTCTACAGATTAAATTTTACTGGTTTGTTTCATATACCTTTATGCTCCACTTTTTTTTTTTTTTTTTTTTAATTTATCTTCAAGTTATTCATTACTTTTTTGAGTTGAGCAGTTTTCACACGACATCCACTCTCAAGAGGAAATTTCAGATATTAACATAATTTTCTTCACTTGGCAATATTTTAAAAAATAAGCTAGAAAGAATGAGTAAGACTATGGAATAAATGGAAGTTAGTGCAGGGAAGTGAGCATCCACAAACTAAAATACATTGCTAAAAACTAAACAAGTGCTAAAAATACATTCAACTTGTACTTTCAACCATTATATAAACAGAACTTGTTTTAAACAAGTCTTTATTCATTTCATCAAATATACTATAAGATATATATATATATATATTTATTTATTTATTTTATTTTAGTTTTTTTTTTCGGTTGTCACTACAGACCATGAATATCTTTGGCCGCGATATTTGGTCTCCTTACAGACGTGTGATACTTGCGGGAGCTCAGATAGCCTGGAGGGGGTCACCCAACCTCACATTGCTACAAACCATGGTTTCTATGGTGCAGTGGCAGGCCACCCGTAGCTCCATAGTCGATCTGGCAATGTCCTTCCCACCGACTTTCTCGGGATTAAGGACAGTGACAAATCGGTCTAGATCCATGGGTTATGGCTGCTCGGAGTCAGCAGGTGCATGAGGACCTATATTTCTTTCCCCGAAACAGACTGTCCATGGACCGAACCTCAGAGGGGCTATTAACATCTTGGTAAACCACATCCCGATTCCCGATTTAAGTACACGGGATAGGGTCATCAGTCCTATGCCCGGAAGATATATATATATATATATATATATATATATATATATATATATATATATATATATATATATATATATATATATTTATATATATATATATATATATATATATATATATATATATATATATATATATATATATATATATTTGTCTCTCACCACTACACTGAGTTAAGGTGGCTCTTCTCCTCCTTCTGAAGACAATATTTTCTAGGTACGTTCCTCTACCAAATCATCAACAACCATCGTCCTTCTTACGCCTACAACCTTCTCCAGTTCAAATCCTCAGTCCATTCCCTGTCCATAAGATCTCGACCTTCTGACCTTTACATGCCTTCTCACAGATCTGCCTCATTCCAAAATTCCTTTATTGTTCGCTCTGTCAATTTCTGGAATTCCCTCCCTATCAAAATTCGACATTCCCCCTCCATATCCACATTCAAATCCCTCCTATTCCAATTCCTATCACAAAAACAGTCAATTACTTGCTAACCATAACCCTTTTACAGTATTCAGAGTCCTGGCTCGATCTAATTATCCTGGATTCCTCAGACAAACTCCTTGCCGCATCTCAGCACCCGGTTCCGTTTCTATCTTCCCACGATCTTGTCCAGATCTCTTACAATGTCCCTGTTCCATCTTTTTCTCCCCGAACAATATCCTTCCGAAACCTAGATTATCTCACTCACGAAACATTGTCAGAAGGTCTTGACGATATCCAGTGAGATCCCATCTACTCCTCAAAATCCATAGACACCATGGTAGAAATCCTTACCACTCAACTTCACTCTATCCTCGACCGACATGCTCCTCTTATCACAAAAACCATCCGATATCCTCCAGCTCCTTGGCTTACTCCTGCTTTGAGGGAGTGTATGAGAGAAAGAGATGTTGCAAGGCGACGGTTTAAACAAACTCGACTTCCTGATGATTTTCTCTCCTACAAACAGCTTCGAAATAGCACTCAATCAGCAGTACGCCGTGCTATATCCCGTTACTACCATCATTCCCTATCCAACTCTCCCAATACCAAGGCTACGTGGGCTATTCTTAGAAAACTGACCATTGGTAATGCACCCCAGTCTCAGTCCAATTCCGTTTCTGCTGATAACCTCAACGCTCACTTTGTCTCCTGTCCTCTTGCATCCACATCTCCCACGTCCAGTCTGGCTCCTATGTTCTCTTCCTTTAATCCTGATCACTTCTTTCTTTCCCATATTACACCAGATGAGCTCCTTAAATCCATTCAGAAGTCCCATACCAATGATTACGGTCCCGACAACATCCCAGTCAGACTGATTAAAGCCGCATTGCCATCCATTCTTCCGATCCTTTATCATATATACAATTATTCTCTTCAAAATGCTACCTTCCCTACATCCTGGAAAACCGCCCTAGTACGCCCATTGAAGAAGACTTCAAACCCATCAGTTCCTAATGATTTCCGACCGATTTCCCTCCTTTCAAACCTCTCAAAACCATTAGAGCGGTTAGCCCAATCCCAGCTATCCCATTTTTTAGAGGACAATAATCTCCTAAATCCCTACCAGTCCGGTTTCAGGCCTGGTTATTCTACTCAGTCTGCCCTAATCAAAATTTCCCAAGACCTTCACACAGCCATAGATCAGCAGAAACTAACCATCCTTATTCTCCTAGACTTTTCCAAACCTTTTGATTCAGTAGACCACAACATCCTCCTAACCAAACTTAAAAATATCTCTTTTTCTTCTAGTTCCCTTAATTGGTTCCAATCCTTCCTAACCGGTCGCTCCCAGTACGTTGTAATTCCTAATAACCCACCATCAGAATCTCTACCTCTGACCAGAGGCGTCCCACAAGGCTCTTCCTTATCCCCCACCCTTTTCTCCATCTATATAAATGACCTCCCATCCTCTATCCTGCACTGTCATTACCACCTGTATGCCGACTACATTCAAATTTACCTCTCCTTTAATCCGACAGATATCTCAGATGCCACTCAAAAACTGCAGGAAGATATTGACAGAATAAGTGCTTGGGCTAACCTCAATAGGCTCACTCTGAACACCGAGAAGACAAAAGCCATCTTGATCGGATCCCCTTCACTCCTCAAATCCTCCCCGGTATCTCCCAACCTCTTCCTGAACAACTCACCTATCTTATTCTACACCACCGTTAAAAACCTAGGTGTTACTTTCGATCAATCCCTATCCTGGAAACCTCACATCTCCCAAATTTCCCGTCGCACTATCTCCACCCTAAAACAGTTCAATCGTCTACGATATCTCCTTCCATATAAGTCCCGTCAACTCCTAGTTTCCTCCCTTGTTTTCCCCCACTTCGACTATGGCTGTATGGTGTACGGTGGACTCCCGGGAGATTCCGAGGCCAAACTTAAACGCCTAATGAATTGCGCACTACGATTTGTTTTCGGAATCTCAAGGGATACGCATATTACCCAGTATTACACTGAGTTGAGGTGGCTCTACCCATCCTATCGCCGTCAGTACTTCCTAGCCACCTTTCTGTACCAAATCATTAGAACCCATCGACCCTCCTATATTTTTCACAGCTTACAATTTAAATATTCCATCCAATCCCGTCCCACCAGATCTCGTACTTCTGACCTCTATCCTCCTCCTCACCGAACTGCTGCGTTTGACAAATCCTTTGTAATACAAGCCGCCTCCCTCTGGAATTCCATCCCAGCTGATATTCGACACGCTCAATCAGTTTCCTCGTTTAAACCTCTCCTCTTTAAGCACCTACTCCTTTCTCAATCCGAATGATTGTGAAATATATCTAAGAGAAATATCTGAGCACCACCAGAGACTACCTCAATTTATTAACGTTATTTTAGTTTCTCATACATATGTACAATTTACTTGTTCTTTTCCTTCTCTTTTCTGTATTTTTATCGTAAGTCAACTTTCATTGTAAATATACAATTTAATTGTAGCCACACAGACATATAATCTGTATTCATATTTTGTTCTTAAGGGACAACAGTCCCAGAATAATAAAACATTTTTTTCATTTCATTTCATTTTTATTTCATTTCATTTCAACCATTAGAGCGGATTTTAATAGAGAATTTGATACATTTTTATTTTTTAATTCTTTATTTTTTTCAGAAAAGTGTATACTGGTCTATAAGTGCAAATAGCTTTAAGTGTCTTGTCATAGTATTAATGGTTTTGTATATAGTTTAGTTTGTTTTGTATATAGAATTTTTACCTTATATTTTTTTTACATTATTTCTTTTTTTCGATTGATTTTATTTTGGCCAGATGTAATATTTTAATTTTGTTCTATTTTGTTATTCTCAAGGGACTATGTCCCAGAATAAAGTTATTTTTCTATCTATCTATCTATATATATATTTCTTCAAGAGCATATATTTTCAATTTTTTATGTATAGTTTGTAAAGTTCTTTTTCTTTATTTTAATATGAAATTTTTGTTATTCTAGATAAATGACTACTGGGGCCCAAGTAAGCGATTACTAGGTGACATGTCATTTCTTCAACAACTTAAAGATTATGATAAAGATAACATTCCCTCAAATATAATGAAAGCAGTGAGGACACAATATTTAAACCATAAAGATTTTAAGCCTCGAGTTGTAGCCAAAGCATCAAGTGCTGCTGAAGGACTTTGCAAATGGGTTATTGCTCTGGATAAATACGATGTAGTCGTGAAGGTATGAGGTAAACATATGTAATATATTTTTTATCTTTACTGTGATTATATTTATGTAAATGAGCAATTGATTTACATGTTTTTTTGGAAGATGATAACTATTATTATAGCCTGTCTTAATTTGTATACTATAATTGTAATTTGAAATATATTTTCCACCTTTTAAAAGTGAATGACATTTTTTTCTATTTGTCATTAAATGACCTAAACACAAACAATTTATTAATATAAATTATAGCTGTTTATTTTATTTTCTGGAAGAAAATACAGTTAGGTACTGAAATCTAAAATTTAGAAAACTAATGGTTTTTTTTAATACATTAATTTAAATTTGTATTTGTTAATTTACATGATTAAAAAAGTACTTCATGCATTTTTTTAGAGAATAGACTTTGCAACAGAAGAAGTTACGTAAAGGATATGACAATAAAACATTAATATCAGACCAATTGCAGAATATTTAGAATCTGAACACTTGCAAGTTTTGACTCCTAAAAAAAATGAATAGATCTTCTAAGTTACCTAAATATATATATTTTGATCTCGCCATTATTGTTCTCGATCATAGGATTGGTTGCTTTAACTTAGTACTTATCACTTTGTTAAATATAGTTGTTTTTTTTTATAATCTGTTGTGGCCATCTGTTGGTACCGTATAGACACTCGCATACATACATACATACATACATACATACATATATATATATATATATATATATATATATATATATATGTGTGTGTGTGTGTGTGTGTGTGTGTGTGTGTGTGTGTGTGTGTGTGTGTTTATGTATGTATGTATGCGAGTGTCTGTACGTAAATTTAATATTATAAGTAAATAGTATGCTTTAGATAAGTATTGTATATTACAAATGAAAAAGGAAAATGACGTCAAAATTAGAACATTTTGATAGAAAAAAAAATCCCGGTTTCTATTTTGAGAACTTGAGAATTTAAAAATTTGACAACAAATTAACCACGAAAATGATAGAGGCCTCGTAAAACACATAATTTTAGATGCCTATTTATAACTACCATCTATATTACTACATATAACCGTTAGTTTAATAATTTTAAAAACACAAAATATAATTATAATGTATGCATATGTAATATCTTAAAAAGTGTATTGTTTATTAATTATAAATATTCATTTTATAATAGTTCTTATGAAATAATAAACATTTTCTTTTCTTTTTATTACAAATTACAATTACAATTACAAAATATGATATTTTTAACACAATCGATTTTATTTAATCATTTCAGGTTATATGTAATTTTAATTTTCATTAATTTTAAACATTATATTAACAACAACTGATGCAGATCAAGTCATAAAGGCAACCAAATACTCCCAGATTTAATTTACTGTTATGAAATTATAACAAAATTTAAAAAGAATAAGGATTAGGGATCGAAAACAATTATATTTTATTACTAACAGAAAGTAATCTTAGTGTAACAAGTAAATAAAAGTTATTTTTTTTCCTTGAGGCTGTCTTATATGGGTACCCATTGATCCACCTTTTATTTAATTTTAAACTTTAGTTCATTTAACGGTGTTGTGTTTGTTTATTTATTTAGATTAGAGCGAAAATAAAAGATGGTTATATACAGTTAAAATAATGATATAGAAGTTTATTTCTTATCTGGGCAGACAAAATTAAAATTTTAAAACAATAAAAATGAAAATTTAATATTTAATGTAAATTTTTTTTTATTGTTTTGGTTTGAGGTATTTTTGAAACAACTAACTACAGAATATTATTTTATTTATGTTCAACACAATTCTTAAAACTAAATTTGAGAGCATGCTAGTTATAGGAGATATTAGCATTGGAGTGGCAATTAAGTGCTTTTGGTTATTCAGGGTGAAATAAAACTCAATGTATTATAGACATAAATTTTATTTTAATCTACAATGTATTGACCAATACTTAATATGACTTTTCCCCATCTTTCCACTAACTGCATAATACCATGTTCATAGAATGTCTGGAGTTTATTGTTAAAAAACTGATCCAAGTGGCTTTTGATGTCCTCTTCCTTTTGGAATTTCTTTCCATTCATGGAGTTCTGCAAAGACCGGAATAAGTGGTAGTCACTTGGAGCTAGGTCTGGTGAATAGAGAGGGTGGGGCAAAAGGTCCCATCCAAGGCTCAATAATTTATTGTGAGTGGCCAATGAGGTGTGGGGCCTAGTGATGTCTTGGTGTAACACAACACCCTTCCGATCATTCATAACTCTTTAGAATGTTCTCCAAATTTGATTTTACTATATCCACGGAAAAGCTGAATTACTGCTCTTCAAAGCTATATGAATGTTTTTTTATTTAATGCCTACATAAGGAATAAGTAAACAAAAACTCCTTATAAGTTTTTATTTTTTATCTTCATTTGTAGTCTGTTTACGAAAATCCTGTTGTTGTCATTTTGTGTAGTTTATGTGGCACTAAATTCCTGATAAATTTCTTGTAGATAATTAAAGTAGTATTGAAGTTATAACATTTTTTATGATTATCGAAAAAAATTATGTGAGGAACACAAACATTAAGCCTGGAAACATAGCCGAGCTTGTGCAAATGGTTTTATACGCTTGTGTGTGACGCATTTAGCAATCTATCGCACTGATTGGGTGGGATTTTAATCAACAGTGGCTTTAACATTGCTCGTTTCAATTTTATGTGGGCAATCAGACTGTTGAACATCATCGATGTCAAAATTTCCTGAATGAAATTTGGCAAACCAATTTTGACAGGTGCATTCGGTTAAGTCAGCATCTACATAAACTGCATAATTTTCTATGAGCTTCTGCAGCATTCTTACCTTTTTAAAAATAATTCAACACAGTATGCCAATGATGAATGACATTCTTCCATATTCACAGTGCAATAGCAAACACAATACTAAGCCAGTTTCAACAAGAGTTAACCGATATAGTTGTTGATATATTACAAACAGGATAAACAATCCACTTTAGGAATTGATTCATCAGATAAGAAATGTATCATAGTGACAAAAAACAAAACAGAAAAACTGAACACATTTCTTCTGAAGAGCCTTGAATTTTTAAATTGATCAGTGAAGTTTAGTCAGGAGGAAGGATGAATATCTACACTTTGTGGGGTGTTGATACATTAATGAGTGGATTCAGCCCTCAGACTTCATAATTTGAGATCATGATAGCTGAACATGTGAGAGCATTATCTGTTTTAACATTATTGTGTCTAGCAATGTCAGTTCGAATCGAGCCTCAGCAGGTTGAAATTTATTCATGGTTGACCCATAGAATGAGTCTCTACCTTCCCATTCTGGTTACAATAGGTTTGACCATATCTCTATAATAACCCTCCGGTATGCTAGAAATGGCAGGATAGAAGTAATTGAAAAAAATACTTGATATTTATGGTTAAAAATGAACAGATGAGTGTCCAGATCTTGCATGAAGAAATTATTGGAGTTTTTAAGACATAGATGAACCTAGATAGATTGAGCTCGAGTGAAATAAATAAATAATAAAACAGAAAATGATGTATAACAATACAGTTTGAGCAGGTTTACTGATAACCTGTGGTTGGCTTAGGAGTGATGACAAGATCTTGTTAAGATGATATGAATCTGGAGTAATCATATCATTATGTAACACATAGACACCAAGAGTATTATAAATTATTGAGGGAAGTTTGTTGATTGTTCTACTTGAAAAATATAACTCTAGTTTATAAACTAGAGTACTTGAACATCTTCAGTGCTGGTAACATAGCCCTGATGATGATCCGCAAATTTGTGTTGAAAATTTGGTAGGACTGCATCCTGAATAACTGTCACCCACAAGAGTAGTATAAATTATTTATAATTTCTAGCTTGGATCAATATAATTTTACTCTAAAAGTTTATTATAAAATACAATGCATATATACATATTAACAAAAATGTATAAAATACTTAAACATGATAAAAAATTAAAACATTTTTTTTAATATATTGCGGGAAGGCAGTAGATCAGCTGATGTGTAGGTTGTGTTCTCAGCTTTGCCAATTTTTCAGCGGAATCTTTCTGATATTTACTGAAGTTCAAGTGTACATCAGAGCAGTTGATATTTACTATTTGATATATATTTTTGTTAATAATAATGTATCATACTCCGAACTACTTGGAGGTAAGAACTCAACTAATACATGTGAAGCTCTGCCGCAGCAACTACCTCAACCCCAACCTCAATATCCTGTTCATCCTAACATACCTAACATAATAATCAACAACCTCAAATTCCTCCTCTCTCAAATGTCACAGATCTCACCAGTTTGTTGTCATCATTTTTCATTGAATTCAAATCAATGGTTACCATCAGTGATATGAGTGGATCACTCCTTACATATCTCGTATCTCACCTCATCATTCCTGTGAAAAATCCTTAAATGAATCCCATTAAACACATATCTATTCTCCATTGGAATGTGAATGATGTTAGAAATCACTTTGACGTATTAATAGCTTTACTACTAGACAAGAACATTGACGTAGCCCTAATTAAAGAAACTCGACTGACCAGAAAACAGCATTTAAAAATTCCACAGTACATTACATATCGTACTAACTATCCTGACGGTAGAGTGCATGCTGGTACTGCTGTCATCGTACACTAATCCCTCTATCATCACTTACTCCCATTACCTACTCAAGATTTCCTACAATCAACTGCTATTGTAATCAAAACCTTCTCCTTTCCGGTCACCCTTGCATCAGCATATTGCCCTCCTAACAGATCCATATCCAAAGTCCAGTTCAGTTCTCTCCTCAACCCCTTAGGTCATCGTTTCATCCTGGGTGCAGACTTAAATGCCAAGCACCAAGAACCACGAATTGTTGTGGCAGAACATTGCTGTCTGCACTCAATTCCCAACGTTTCAGTCTCCTTCCACCCAATTCACCAACCTACTGGCCCACTGACTCTAACCGCAATCCTGATATCCTTGATTTTTTCATCCACAGGGTTTAGGTTTAGGT